GGGATGCCTGGAAAAAAGTAAGGCTAGAGAGGCATTAATATTTTTTAGTGTGCGTGGGTGCGCCAGCACTAGAGGGGCCGGTGTTTTTTTAGGCCTCAGATGGCAAAGCTAAGCATTCAGCCTACGGCAGGAAAAAAGTGCCTTTTTTGTTTTCTGACTGCAGAGTCCAGGCATTCCCAGGGGAACACAATGAATGGCCCATTTTGTCCAACACGGTTTCATAGACATAGATTTCTTGTTTTTTCATAATTATTCTTGCCCGTCATTGGGTGTGCACATGACATTTGAGCGTGTTTTAAAGTCTTAACACACTCATGTGCCTGCAATAAAGTTACTCATAACAATCCCGCCTTTCTCCAGACAACAGAGCAGGGTCTGTTGTTTTCACAAGTCACAGCAGCTGGCAGGCAATTGTGAAGACAACAGCTTAATCTAGCTGGAAAATACAGGAAGAAGAGAGTATACACTAAATTTCCTTCCATATTATTTAAACAAGAATTTTTTTAAAAAAACGGCTATGGGTGGTCTTAATAACTGATTGGCCGAAAGTACTTTAAATTTCCTTAGAATGTTGTCTTTAAATGTTAAGGATCTACAAGGTTGCATTCATCATATCTGTTAATCAGCTAAAAGGCAGGCTCAGGCAGTGGTACACAGCCACATTTCAGTGGCTATAGAAGGTATTACAGAGCATTTGTTTTTTATAATTTGCTAAGTAGCAACTGGTGTTTGTATAAAAGGATGCTATAACCAAGTAGTTATGAAGCAATGATTAATCTCCTTTGAAAGGTGTGTGAAAGACTAAGAGGTGCGTGGTAATTCACATCTTAGTGCCAGGCTGAATTTCTGGTTTGCAGTCATTAGCAAGTTTTAAATTTCACACTGAATAACAAAATTTAGGGAAGAGGAGAGTAACTTTGAAAGATTTAAATCTGACCTGGATCATCAGAGTGGTAAACTGGCTGTGCTCTTCAGGGCGCTGAAGTGAACCAAGTTATTTTTTATTTCATGTGGAGGGAAGGAGATAAGAAATGTGAGAAGTACAATAAAAAGAAGGAAACTTTACTGTGTTCATCTAAGCTTTCTTTGGTGGGGGGAAGGGATTAAGCAGGTCTTGGGGAAGGAAGTGGCTTAAAAAGCAAGATTGGCAGTGCTCTGCTTAACTGTTTCAAACTCCACTACCCTTTTCCCTTCAAGGAAACATTCGTGAAAGAACTTCTTTTTTATTTTTCTTTTTTGATTCTCAGTTTTATTTATTTATTTTTGATGAGTTATAGCTTGGGCTTAGGTTTGGGCTTTTTTTTTCTTTTTAAACTGGGATATAGTTGCTTTACAATGTTGTGTTAGTTTCTGCTGTACAGTGAAGTGAATCAGCTATATGTATACATATATCCCCTCTTTTTTGGATTTCCTTCCCATTTAGGTCACCACAGAGCATTGAGTAGAGTTCCCTGTGCTATACAGCAGGTTCTCATTGCTTATCTATTTTATACATATTAGTGTATATTTGTCAATCCCAATCTCCCAATTCGTGCTACCTCTCCTTTCCCCCGTTGGTGTCCGTACATTTGTTCTCTACGTCTGTGTCTCTATTTCTGCCTTGCAAACAGGTTCATTTGTACAGTTTTTCTAGATTCCACATATATGCGTTTATATACGATACTTGTTTTTCTCTTTCTGATTTACTTCACTCTGTACAACAGTCTCTAGGTCCATCCATGTCTGTACAAATGACACAATTTCGTTCCTTTTTATGGCTGAGTAATATTCCATTGTATATATGTACCACATCTTCTTTATCCATTCATCTGTCAGTGGACATTTAGGTTGTTTCCGTGACCTGGCTATTGTAAATAGTGCTGCAATGAACATTGGGGTGCATGTGTCTTTTTGAATTATGGTTTTCTCTGGGCATATGCCCAGTAGTGGGATTGCTAAACCATATGGTGATTCTATTTTTAGATTTTTAAGGAACCTCCATACTGTTCTCCATAGTGGCTGTATCAATTTACATTCCTACCAACAGTGCAGGAGGGTTGCCTTTTCTCCACACCCTCTCCAGCATTTATTGTTTGTAGAGTTTTTGATGATGGCCATTCTGACCATTGTGAGGTGATACGTCATTGTAGTTTTGATTTGCATTTCTCTAATAATTGGTGATTCATGTGCCTCTTGGCCATCTGTATATCTTCTTTGGAGAAATGTCTATTAGGTCTTCGGCCCATTTTTTGATTGGGTTGTTTGTTGTTTTGATATTGAGCTGCATGAGCTGTTTGTATATTTTGGAGATTAATTCCTTGTCTGTTGCTTCGTTTGCAAATATTTTCTGCCATTCTGAGGGTTGTCTTTTTGTCTTGTTTATGGTTTCCTTTGCTGTGCAAAAGCTTTTAAGTTTCATTAGGTCCCATTTATTTATTTTTGTTTTTATTTTTATTACTCTAGGAGGTGGGTCAAAAAAGATCTTGCTGTGATTTATGTCAAAGAGTGTTCTTTCTATGTTTTCCTCTAAGAGTTTTATAGTGTCTGGTCTTACATTTAGGTCTTTAATCCATTTTGAGTTTCTCTTTGTGTATGGTGTTAGGGAGTGTTCTAATTTCGTTCTTTTACATATAGTTGTCCAGTTTTCCCAGCACCAAATGAAAGAACTTCTTGTGGACTCTTAAAAGATACCTAGGTGACATGAAGGTATTTGGTTTCTAAGACACTATGGTTTTATTCATATTTTATTGGGAAAGATGAAGCAATTAGGGCTAGCAACTTTACTAAATAACTCATCACCTTTTTAGGTACTCACAGTACCTGAATAACTATAATCTAATGTTCATTCTTAATGTGGAAGTACTGTTTTCTCATGAGAGTGTTTTTAAATGGAAATCTAAGTGAGAAATCCAAATGCTACTTGCAACCATAGGATGACCTTCACTATCCTATCTCTCTCATAGGCTGAGCATGAAGAGACATTTTTTTTCCTAATACTTATTGAGCATCTGTTCTGATCGTCCTTAAATTTCTTTTTTAAAAACATTTTTTAAATTGTTTCTCCTTTATTTCCCACATTTCTTCCCTATTCTTGGAAGAACATAGCACTGGAGGCCCCATAGCCAGGTTCCTGGGTATCAGGATCTAGTGCAAAAGTTAATCCTTTTGTTATCTTCCCTGGTATTCATCCTGCTAGCTTTAATACCAAAGCATAATTAATTATATACATACCTTTATTTTAGTGCTTACCATCTAAGCTTAACAATTTGATAATAGTTCTCATTTATGGTCTTATCTGCTGAGCACCAAATCAGTTTCTTTATGTGTATTTTCATTAATCTTTGTAAATATGCAACAGTGTAGATTTTATCATCACCATTTGACAGATGAGGAAACTAAGGTTACACATCTAGTTAGTTAGAGCCAAGTATCAAACTTAGGTCTCTGCAGCATCAAAACCTGTGATCTTTCAACTATACCATGCTGCTTCCCAGTTACATAAAAGGGAGGAAATAGCAGTGCCTAATTAATAGGAAGTAAGGACATAAATCAAAAGATAATAGTGCTCTTTTTCCCTCTTTTTCCTCCTTCTCTTTATAGTTCAATCAACGAGGTATTAGGCAGGCCCAATTGAGGAAGGTAGCTGAGTTGCATGGCAGCCTGGTGGGGATTGAGGCCCCTGTAAGAAAAGTAGTTCGTCATAGTAATAGCTCAATAAGAGTTGGGGCCAACTAGATGAAGACTACCAAATGGGTAAGTGACTTGGCAGGGTCAGGAGATTGGTTGGTAACACATAACATATAGGAAATAGAAAAAATAAGTATATATATTTATATACACATAAATACATACATATATACAAATATGTATACATACATATATATGTATAAACATACATATACATATGAATATATAATGGGAGCTAGGTTTTTTATTTAATTAAAAGTTTTAAATTAAGGTATAATTTTATTTTAGTTTCAGGTACACAACAGAATAATTCAATATTTGTATATATTGCAAAATGATTACCCAATAAGTCTAGTTAACATTCGTCACCATACATATTTTAAAAATTGTTTTTTCTTGTGCTGAGAACTTTTAAAGTTTACTCTCTTAGCAGCTTTCAAATATGCAATGCAGCATTATTGATTATAGTCACCATGCTGTACACTATATCCCCAGGACTTACTTATTTTATAACTGGAAGTTTGTACCTTTTGACCTTTTTCACCCATTTTGCCCACTCCCCAACTCCCGCCTCTGGCAACCGCCAGTCTGTTCTCTGTATCTATGAGCTTGAGCTTTTCTTCCCCCCCTAAGATTCCACAAATAAGTGAGATCATATGGTATTTGTCTTTCTCTGTCTGACTTACTTCACTTAGCATAATGCCCTCAAAGTCATTTGTATTGTTGCAAATGACAGAATTTCCTTGTTTTTTATGATTGAATAATATTCCATTGTATATATACAAATCTTCTTTATTCATTCATTTGTTCATCTACAGACACTCACTTAAGTTTTTTCCATACCTTGGCTATTGTAAATAATGCTGCAATAAACATGGGGATGCCCATATCTTTACCAGTTGGTGTTTTTGTTTTCTTCAGATAAATACCCCCAAGTTGAATTGCTGGATCATATGAAAGTTCTATTTTTAAGTTTTTGAGGAACTCCCGTACTGTTGACCCCCATACTGTTTTCCATAGTGGCTGCACCAATTTATATTCCCACCAACTGTGCACAAGGGTAAGACATTCTCACTAACACTTATTTCTTGTCTTTTTGATAATAACCATTCTAACATGTGTGAGGGGACATCTCATTGTGGTTTTGATTTGCATTTCCCTGATGATTAGTGATGTTGAGCACATTTTCATGTACGTGTTGGCCATCTCCATGTCTTCTTTGGAAAATATCTGTTCAGATCCTCTACCCATTTTTAAGTTACATTTTTTTTGTTGTTGTTGTTGAATTATATGAGTTTTTTAATATATATATATTGATTTTATCTCCTTATCAGATATGTGAATTGCAAATATTTCCTCCTGTTAGGTAGGTGCCTTTTCATTTTGTTGATGGCTTCCTTTGCCGTGCAGAAGCTTTTTAGTTTGATGTAGTCCCACTTGTTTATTTTTTCTTTTGTTGCCTTTGCTTTTGGTGTCAAATTCAAAAAGTTATTGCCAAGACTGATGTCACTGAGCTTACCACCTATGTTTTCTTCCAGGAGTTTTATGGTTTTAGGTCTTACAAGCCTTTAATCTATTTTGAGTTAATATTTGTGTATGGTGTAAGATGGTGGTCCAGTTTCATTCTTCTGCATGTGGCTGTCCAGTTTTCCCAACACCATTGATTGAAGAGACTGTCCTTTCTCCATTGTATAATCTTGACTCCTTTGTCAGAAGTTAATTGACCATATGTGTGTGGGTTTATTTCTGGGCTGTTTATTGTGTTCCATTGATCCGTGTGTTTGTTTTTATGCCAGTAACATACTGTTTTGGTCACTATAGCTTTGCAATATAGTTTGAAATCAGTAAGTGTGATGCCTCTAAGTTTGTTCTTCTTTCTCAAGATTGATTTGGCTATTCAGGGTCTTTTGCGGTTCCATACAAATTTTAAGATTGTTTGTTCTATTTCTGTGAAAAATGCCAGTGGAATTTTGATAGGGTTTTAAATGATTTTAGAAGAGAGAGTTAAAAATACACTTAAGAGGAAGACAAGAATAAACTCTGTGGTGCTGGATTGTAAGTTATCAATGTGATTTCATGGTTTTATATGTGTCTATCTCAATATCTACATATAGATATATCTAGATATAGCTAGAAGTAAATATTAGTATAAATGTGTTTATCTGTGTAATATATACATAAATATATTTCTAAGGTCTACTGAGAGGACCTAGGAGCAAAGTACACCCCAGTGGTAATGAGTATACTTTGCACCCAGATCTTGACTTCTAAATACATTCTCCTGGTCTGGAGCAGGAAAAATACAGGATAAGTCTGGAATGTCTTATTGCTCCAGAAAGTGAAAAAGGACTTAAAAGAATTATAGGGGCATAATCCAGCCTTGAAGGGGCAACCTGTGTCCATATCTGGCACGTGGTAAAAATAAAAACAAAAAAATAAGAATGGATTTATTACATTTAACACAGTAAGAATCCACAGGTCCATACTGATATATATATATATATATATATATATAAAATAAGTGAAAAAGCGAAGAGAAAGCTCTTTGTTACAGTAGAGTGCCAACTAACAATTGTACAAGAAATTGTTGAAAGAAAATCACCCCTTGGCCACCATCATAGCAATAATGAATTCAGAAGAAACATGAAGAGATGTTAAACTGTTGAATGAGAGTTGGATGAGGAATAGAATGTTTATATAGTCTCAGAATGTCTGCTGCACAATACTTAGGAAAACAAAGAGGGAAAGGTTTAAAGTATAGTGGGAAACCTGACGGATACCACATTACTCAGGTGACATTAACAATGATGGGAAAAATTGATATCATAAGCTACTTGATGGGATACAGTGAGAAGAGCATAGCATCACTTCTGTGATATTTCTGCCAAAAATGCCTAACTTGAATTAAATCATAAAGAAACATCAGAAAAAAAACCAATTTAGGGACAGTCTACAAAATAACTCTCTTGAAATCTTTAATATTGTTAGTGTTGTAAAGGTCAATGAGGAACTGAATAACTCTTCCAGATTGAAGGAGACTGAAGAGACATGACAACACATGATCCTGACCTGGATTTTATTGCTATGCAGGATATACTGGGACACTTGGCAAAACTTCAGTAGGGTCTTTTAAGGGTATATTTCAGTTCTTTGCAATGTTCCTGAATCTTTTCTATAAATATGAAATTATTTCAAAATAAAAAAATAAAATACTTAAAATACAAAAAAAAAAAGAACTTTGATTCAAAGAGTTTAAGAACAGAAAGTGTTAGTCACTATGATAGTTGGCTAAAAATTGTGATCTCACTGTTACTTAGAAGTTTCTTACAAGGAATGCTTAAAAAGAACACATTATTGATCCATTTTTATGCCCTCTTCAATTGTATTTGAATGAATTAAGCTTCTTGTTTGGAGGAACCCTGTAAATGATTAAATAATTGGGTCTAGGCCATGGTTACTGGTGCTCCTTAAAATTTTTTTAATCAATTTGTTCTTTTCAGCTTCTGAGATCCAGAAATGTCACTGTTGATGTGATTTCAGTGTTGATGAAATAAACTTCTAATAGTATCCTGCCAAGAGATTCATCATCAAGAGATGAACATAGCATACTTGTGCATTCTAATAGAATATTGAGGTTGGAAGAAATAACTGATTCACTATTTCCATTTTTGACCAAAAAAATGACCATGTAATGTCCAACCATGATGGAGCCAGATTTAAACTTGGATCAACAATTGGATCGTTTCAAATTTTAGAAAGTTAGAAAAACATTAATGACCACAGGAAAATTCCGTTTAGTGGTAGTTGCTTGGCTGATTAAATCTTAATCTCCCTAATGCTGAAAGGCACTTTGGTAAGAAGGCATCAGAATCACTTGATTTTTAATCCTCGCTTTGTCGATCTGATAACTCTGTGGGCTTAAACTTTCTGAACCAATAAAAAGGCATAATGATATCTTACTGAACTGTGTTGTTGTGTGGATTACTTGAGATAAAGTGTGAAAGTATCTAGCATGTATTTTCTGGAATGCAGTAGGTCTTCAAGAAGTCCCAAGTCTCATTTCTTAGCTTCTTTATTCCTAGAAACAATGCTGTATGTAGGCCTAAGATGAAGCTTCAAGTAAAACATTTCCTGGTTTACAGCTAGGTATCTGTAGGAAATGTAGAGGAAATAATGTACATTTGTATAGTAATTCATATTTTTCAGATAATTTCCACAACTGCTTAAATAGTTTCCACCTTGATTCCTTAAAATAGGCAGTAGAAATATTATTCTCTCATTTTTATACAAGAAAATTGAAATTTACTGGCTCATAAGTAAGATAATAGAAGAACCAGTATTTCAGCCTAGTCTTTTAACATCTAAGCAATGGACTTTTTATCATCCGGTATTTCTTAACCTTTTAAAACCCATGTGCCCTCTGGATAAGAGAAAATAACTTCATACAATTCTTTAATGTTTTATAAATTTTCAATTAAGTTAATATTATGACACAAGAAAAGGATTTTTATCTTCCAAGATACATACTTTAAATATTTGTGAGTTTTTTCTAGGCCGTGTGACAGTGAGAGCACAAGGTCAGTCACTTCTAAAATGGGCCACATTTCCCTGCTTTGTTTTCCTTATTGTAGATACAGTAAAACTGGAATCACAAATATATGTTGATGAAATGCTGTTTATGGCATGGAGAGCCTGTGCACTTATGTATACTATTTCAAACTTTATACACCCTCTCTAATACATTTTCAAGGCTCTCCTTACTTCCTTCTCATTTCCCCACAGTGTGGCCCAAGGTACCAACCTTGAAAATGTCTACATCATGGGGCACATTGGTTAAGAGTAGGACTCTGGAACAAGACTGCCTGTACCCTCCACTTATTAGCAGCCTGAACTTGAGGCAAGCTACTGAGCTTCTCTGTGCCTCACCTGTAAAACAGAGAAACTAGCAGTACTTACCTCATGAAGGGGTTCTAAGAACTAATTGAGTTCCTGTATGTAAAGCACTTAGAAGAGTGCCTGGGACATTGCAAGTGATATATCAGTGTTGCCACTATTATTAGCAGTACTGTTATTATTATTATCACCCATGCAATTACCATAGTGGCTTAAAGCAATATAATAACACGGTAATATTGTTATAATGTCATGAGAATCAAGTTAGATTAACATCTGTCATTAGGTCTTCTTTGGTATGTACCTCTAATTTGTGTGCCTGATAAAATAATTCACAATCTCTGCTATTAACCTTCCTTAGATATTTCTGTGAAATATTGCTCTTCCTTTTTTGCAAGATCCTTCTTTAATTTTTCTTCTTGTAAACCTTTATAGGATAAGATAAACCCAGCTGTGTACCTCAGAGCTTTTTCTCCCGTTTACTCTTCACAAATGTGCTTTGGCAATTCTCAAGTCATATGTATACCACCACCCCAAAGCTTATCCTGGGGCAGGATCACTCTTTCACTCAGGGCATAATGAATCTCCAAGAAGAAAGAACATGGGTAATGAAGAACGCATACAAACACACACACACACACACACACACACACACACACACACACACGATTCTGAAATGTTCTCCAAAAGGAGGTGCGCCTCTTTGTTTAAGAGATCACTATACTGGTTTGAAATGATCAAATTTAAATTCAGTGGGTAGTGTCTACTATGTGCTAAGGGCTTTACTGAGGTAGGTATTATTATTGCTCTTTTACTGAGAAGAGAAGTAAAGTTAAGCAATTTGTTGACGTTACTGACTCTGATCTAGGTCTTTTAGCATTAATTCACTTATTCCAAGTCTTATACTACCATAAATACAACTGATTCTGAATGAAATGATGCACTTTTCATGATATTTCTTGTTACAATAAAACTTTTAGAAATGATTGAAATGTATCTACTCTTGCTTCTTCTATCCACATGCCATTTGGGGAGGTCAGCTCCTGAGACTAAGGAATAGGCTGCTTGGATTTACAGTGCTTGGTGAATTTGGGTGCCCTTGTGGTATAAGTTGCCTTTCTTTCCAAGCTAAGAGTAGGTGGGACAAGGCTGTCATTTTAACAAGTTAATGTGAATGAAACAACAACAACAAAAAACTCCAGGCAACCTGATAGTGCAGGGGGTCTACAGTGTGAGTCCAGACTTCCCAGCAGTACCCTTTTTCTGTTTAATGCTAAAGTAGAATTTTCCTTTTCTCAAGGATGTTGTTAATACCTTTTACCTGCAAAAGAAAGCCCCTTATCATTTTGGAAAGAATATGGGCTGAAGATACAGGTTTGAATTCTAACTCTGCAACTTACTAGCTATAGTGTTTGGTACATTATTTAATATTCCTTAATCTTAGTTATCACATCTGTAAAATAGGAAATTAATGCCTACTTCATAGGACAGTTGAAAATTTTTCCACTTTTGAAAATTGTTTTTATCCTGCTTTATTGATGTATAAATTACATACAATAAAATTTAAGTGTTTGATGAATTCTGGAAATTGTGTACAGCCAAATACAACTTTTTAGCCTTGAAAAGTTTCCTCATGTCCCTTTGCAGTCAGATCCCCTCTGTGACATTCTGGGTCCATTTATTGATCTGCTTTCTGTCACTATAATTTCTCCTTTTCTAGAATTTCATATAAAAGGAATCATATAGTACTTACTGTTTTATGTTCAATTTCTTTCATTTAGCATGATTTTTAGATTCTTTCATGTTACTGGGTCTATCTATATTTCGTTTCTTTATATTGCTAAGTAGTATTCCACAGAATGGACATATCATAATTTGACCAGTTAATGGATATTGGATTGATTCCCATTATTGACTACAGTATTACGAATAATGTTACAAGTGTGATGTAGACATATATTTTCATTTTTCTTGTATATATATCTGAGTGGATTGATTGCTGGACTATATAGAAATTGCATGTTTACCTTTATAGGAAAGTGGCTGTATCATTTTTAATTCCCACCAGCAATGGGAATTCCAGAATGAGAGTTCCAGTTGTTCTGCATCCTCATCAACACTTGGTATTGTTAATCTTTTTAATTTTAACCATTCCAGTGGGTTTTAGGGGTATCACATTGTGGTTTTGATATTCATTTCTCTGATGATTGGTGATTGATTGGTGATATCCTCTTATGTACTTACTGGCCATTCATGTATTTTTGTGTGTGACTTGCTTTTTTGTCTTTTTAACAGTGTCTTTGAAAGAGCAAAGTTTATAATTTTGATGACATTTATCTTTTTTGTTTTCTTTTCTGGTTCATGTTTTTGTGTTCCATTTTTTAAATATTTACCTAATACAGTATTACAAAGATTTTCTCCTATGTTTACTTCTAGAAGTTTTCTAGTTTTAGCTTATACATTTAGGTCTTAATCCATTTTTAGTTAAATTTTGTGTTTGGTGACAGATAAAGGTCTAGGTTTATTTTTCCCCACACTGATATCCATTTCTAGCAAAAGCTGTTTAAGAGACTATCCTTTCCCCATCGAATTATATTGGCATCATTGTGAAAGTCAAGTGTGGATTTCTTTCTGGACTCTATATTCTATTTTATTTATTTACATGTATATCCTTATGCCAATACTACCCTAATTGATTATTGTAGCATTATAATAAGTCTTGAAATCTTACGATAGTTCTCCAGTTTTGTTTTCCTTTTTCAAAATTGTTTTGGCTATTTTTTTCCATGTAAATTTTAGAATCAGTTTGACACTATCTTCAAAATGTCCTTCGGGATTTTAATTGAGATTGCATTGAATCTCTACATTGATTTGGGGAGAACTGCTATTGTAACAATATTGAGACTTCCATTCCATGAAGGCTTCCATTCCAAGTCTAACTCCATTTTTTCTGGTATTTTAAAAATTTCCTTTTGCAATGTTTTTATGGCTTTCAGTGTAGAGGCCTTGTATACTTTGGTTATGTTTTTCTAGGCATTTTATTTTTTGTGCTAATGAAAATAGAGTTTTTTAAAAATTCCCTTTTCTAATTGTTTATTCTAGTTTCTCTAGTATATAGAAAGACAAGTGATTTTTTAAGTCTTTTTTTAATTGACGTATAATTGACATATAACATTATATTAGTTTTGGGTATACAACATAATGATTTGATGTTTGTAAATATTGTGAAATGGTCACCACAATAAATCTAGTTAGCATCCATCAAGAAACATAATGACAAATTTTTTTTCTTGTGATGGGAACTTTTAAAATCAACTGTCTCAGCAACTTTCAAATATGCAGTACGGTATTAGCTATAGTCACCATGGTGTACATTACATCCCCAGGACTTACTTATTTTATAACTGGAAGTTTGTACCTTGTGACTCCCTTCACCCATTTTGCCCACCCTCCAAATCTTTTTTCTTTCCACAAATCTTTTTTCTTTCTCTTTTAAATTGAGGTAATATTGGCTTATAAAATTATATTCATTTCATGTGTACAACATTATATTTTGACTTCTGTATACACTACAGCTTGCTCACCCCCAAAAGTTTAGCTTGCTCACTCCTAAAAGTTTTGCTTCCATCACCATGCAATTGACCCCCTTTACCCATTTTGTCCTCTCCCTACCTCCCCTTCCTCTCTGGTAACCACTGCTCAATTCTCCATATCTATGTGTTTGTTTTGTTTTTCATTTTTTTAAATATTCCATATGTGAGTGAAATCATACAGTATTTGTCTTTCTCTGTCTGACTTATTTCACTTAGCATAATACCCTCAAGGTCCATCCATGTTGTTGCAAATGGCAAGATTTCATCTTTTTTATGGCTGAGTGATATTCCATCATATTTATACCACATCTTCTTTATCCATTCATCCATCAGTAGGCACTTAGGTTGTTTCCATATCTTGGTTATTA